GTTGGCATTGGTAGCCAAGCAACATCTAGTTCTTCTAGTCTCAGGGTCCATCATATCCTTGGCTGTTTCCAGATGCCTTTGATTTTCTTCACTCTTCTTTGTTTCAGATGAAAGGAGACCAATAGTTGCATTGTAGATGGCCACTTGAAAGCTTTTAAGACCACAGTCACTAGGTCAAATGGCTCCTGAAATCGCCTCAACAGGTAAATTAATGATGCCATGCTATCTATGTAAATACATGTCCTGGAGTCAAAAGAAAATACATGCCTTTTATAAAATCTGAAGATACACTTAATATTTATTTTAATAAAAAAGACATATAACACAATATTTGGCAGTTTAACCATTTTTAATTTGGATACGAATTCAGTATCACCAGTTCCACTCATTGGCATCAGTACCTATAAGGAATCAAGGGCAAGTGAAAGGCAGTAGTTTATACTACTCAACCTAGGTTGGCCAGTCTAAGTAGCCTGCCCTTAACATCACTCCAGAGTTGGGCCTTCCCAGGATGGAAATGGAATAGGGTGTACGTAACAACCAGCTTCCCTTTCCAAGAAGCTATACAATGTCCCAGGTGGGTGGAGCTGGCAAAGAGGCTGCCAGTAACCTAGATTCTAGGGCAACAAAACTTACCCTCTGGCCCAGTTCTGACTTCAATGCCACTGTTCTTCCCCTTTCAAACTGGAATAGATATGTTGCTCTTCAGACCTGTCCCAGTTTGAGGTCAACATAACCATGATATGCAGAATTCATGTCTTCTTCCCCAAAGTTGTCTGTGTGCTTTGGTACAAGATAGAATATCCAATACCTGGACCTAGGGAGACCTCAGAGGGCCTGGTGAGCTCTGAGACCTGTGGGGAGCCAGGCTGCTCTGCTTCCATGACAGCAAGTAGAAGTTCTTCTCCCTAGGAAAGAAAGATGTTGGGGAGCAGCTCAAGTGCAAGGTAGAGCTAGAAGGAGATGAAATGGGTCCTGCAGACAAAATGGGTGGAGACAAAATGGGTCCTGCAGAAGCTGGGTGAGTCCCCACTAGAAGGGCCATGGTTGCACCTTGTGAGTCATAGGTGGGTCTCATGGTGAAACTGGCCAGAGATGCTAACTTTACATGGTTAGTGGTGTAGTTTTTCCAGACTAGCAATTCCATTTCACTACCAGAAGAAGGTGGTCTGGCTTATTCTCCTGTTGAGCTCAGGACTAAAGCCTTTCACAATGTCACACCATCTGGTGTGAATTGGGGGAAGACAGGGTAGCAGATGTATCCCATCAGTCTGTGTTGCTATTTGACTGGCTTGAGGCAACATAGCAGGGGGAAGGTGGAGGGTTCATCATGCACATCTCAAGCTGTTGAACTCTTTCTGGTTCTCTGGATGTATCGGACATAATTTCAGCTGTCCTCATAGCTGAGCCTGCTGTCAGGCTCAAATCAAGGACCTCAAGGAGGCCCAGGGACCTTCTGAGTTATACTTTCCTTCTTGTTCTTGGCCTGGAGACAATTGTTTCCCTGCAGTGACTTGACACTTAGAGAAAGATAGGTATGAAAAGTGGAGCTCAGGTTGGTGGGATTGCGTGGCAGGGGGAAAGCATGACTGGGCACTGGGAATACTCAGGTCTAGAACTTGGGCCTGCTGCTTACTAGCTGTGAGCTCTTAGCAAGGTAACTTCAGACCCTGTCTCCTCATCTATAAACTGCCAGGAGAACAGCATCCTTGTAGTACTGAACCATGGTGACTCAAAACTACTTCTTTCCCTCTTTTACTGGGGGCCTGGAATGGAGCCAACTCTGCACAAAGCAGTGGATTAGCTTGGACGGACATGTAATGACCAATACAGTCCTAGAGGTAGAATATCAGAAACAAAATTCTTATAGAAGTTTCTTTTGGACTCAGAGGAGCTTTCTTGTCTAGGTTAGGCTGGTGCCTGAGATAGGAGGGTAAGGTGTGTGCCTCTAGCTGGAGATGGCATCCTCAGTGGTAAGTAACCCCAATGGGGGGAGTCAAAGACAGTGTGTTTCAGCTGTCTCATCATGTTTGGAGCTTTCCAGCTCCTCCCTGAGCAAAGCCTTAAGCTTTAGAATTGATAGAAAGGCTTGGACCAGTGCACTTGATTTTCTGCCATCAAGTAGGTTTTCCCTATGGCCAGCAGGTGGCGCTGAGTGTTCAGTTCTTCCAGACTCATTGTCACCAGCCGGTGTCTGCCAGCAGGCGGGGAGATTATTCTGGATGGGGCCCCAAGGATGGGGCTGCTGAGGGGTTCTTCATTAGTAAGTCTTGACCCTCCCCCGGGCTTAACGACAGCCAAGCTGAGTCTCAAGAGCCAGGCTGTAAGCAATTTTTTTACACTTTCTCCCTCTAAATAAGAAACAGAGCAGTTCAGCAAAGAGAATCAACATTGGGGGACTATGTGGGAGCAGAATCAACACTGAGGAACTATGTGGCAGCAGGGAGGCAGCTCAGAATCGGGACCAGAAGCAGTAGCTTCCTGGAGCGCTGCCTCTGGAGCAGCCTGGGACAGACCCTCACTGATCAGGGTAAAACCCAGGCCTCACACTGCAGCAACAGCCCTGGTTTGTCGTCCTGCACACGTCCACTACTCGGTCATTCATTCATCCATTCATTCATTTGGTAGCTACCAGGCACAGTGCTGAATCAGACACAGTACCTAACTTCAAGGAAGGAAGGGCAGTACCTAATCTCAAGGAAGGAAGGGACCATCTCTTTCCAGATAAATCAGGGAAGGCTTCAAGAAGGCATTATTTGGTTTGGACTTCTATGGATATGAACAGGCAGAGATGAGACCTAGGTAGTCCAGGCAGAGGGAATAACATAACAAAGGCTCAGAGGTAGGAAGGTCAATGTTGTGTTCAAGGAGGGGATAGAGAGGCAGCCAGGGCAATGTCAGGTGCATGGGGTCCTTGTAAGAGAATAGTGTAAGACTGGACAAGGAGATAAAGCCTAAAGTGGCTGACTAAGGGGTCTAGCCTTGACCCAGAAAGTGATGGGGATCTACTGAAGGGGCTTGACATGGGAAGGAATGATCACAACCATCTTAATGGGACAACTCAGATGCACTGCTGGGGGTGAGACCAGAAGCAAGGAGATTCAGGCAATAAGCATTGCTCCAGCACCTGTAACCAGGGTACGAGTTGGGAAGGGCACTGAGTAGAAAGTAAGACCAGGCAAAGAAACTCATCACTGAGAGGAAATTAAAAAGGACCTTCTCTCTTAACATTTGCTTGGTTGTTTTTCTCATGTGGCTGATTCCACAGCAATCACAAACATTAATGTTTATTGAACACTTATTATGGACCAGGCACTTCAGCATTTTACATGTTTTTTAACTCACTCCCCACAATTCTATGAGGTAGGTACTGTTAGTAGCTCCATTTAACAGACGAAGCATCTGAGGCACAGATCAAGTTACCTGACTAAAGTCTTATAGCTAGACCTAGGATTTGAACCCAGGCAGCTGGTTCAAGAACTCATGCTCCATTACTATACCAATGCATATGATGTCACCACCTCTTTCTCTGAGCACCCCAGTCTTCCAGCAGATCCCCAGGAGTTGAGGCAGGGCCCAGGGCTATAAGCCTGCTGAATGCCCAAAGGTTGGTATGTCCAGAGACTGGGTCACCTGAGGCATATAGGGGAATGTCCCTCTGAACTAGGGAAAGAGAAGCCAACTCCTTACACTTTTCAGGTACCAACTCCCTTGGCCTCCTTGCTAGGGTCCATAGCACCTCTTGAGTGTAGGGTGACAGCTGCCAGACCCTGCCCTCCCTGTCCACCAGCACACTCATACCAACAGCTCTGGCTCCCCAAGAAGAACAGCCCAAAGTTTAGGTCATGAAGGGGAAGGTTTTATTGACAATGGAGAAGGCAGAATTCTGGGCAAGTACACACAGGACTGCCCCAAGAGTCCAGGCTCAGGACCAAAGGCTTCCTTGCCTCAGGCACCTTGCTCACCCCACCATCCTGAGCTTTTCAACACCTCTTTTTCCAGCAAACCCAAAATTCCCATGGCTACCCTCTGGACAGAAGGTGAGTGGCAGCCACAGGTAGGGGAGCAAGAACCCAAGTTTGGTCTGAGGATTTCAGTGTTTGGCAGGCCCCAGGACCCCTCTCCGACTGGCAAGTATGTGTCTGTGGCAGCAGTGGTGGCTGCTGCCCCAGCCCACGCCAGTCTCTCAGGGAGGGGGACAGTATGGATGCAGGTAGACGCAGCAGCCCCAGCTCATGAAGCCATCACTGCAGAAGGCTGGTGCAAGGGGCAGGGGGCACAGACCCCATCTTTTCCCTGTGCCTGAGCACTTGTCCTCCCATGTCACGATCATGAGTTTGCCAGGGCTCAGCCAAGCGAAGCCTCTTCATGTCATTTCCCCCCTACTGCCCCCCCATCCTTGGCCTGAGCCTGCCCCTCAGAGGGGAGCCCAGTCATCCTCAGCCTGTCCTTCTCTGTGTAGGCTCCACAGCTTCAGTCCTCCAGCTGGGATGTGCTTCCTCATCAACCACCATTCCTGGCTGGCTGGGCCCATTACACTTTTCAGGTACCAAGTAGGGCTACAGCCTGACCATGGTTATCCCTTGGTGCCACAGAAATAGAGCAGTGTGCCTCTAACCTGGGGATTGTTCTTCCCCACCTGTCCAGCTTGTGGCTGGTCGATCCTGGGAGCCTCAGACTGGCTGGAGACTCAACTCTAGGTCCCAGCACCTCCCACAGCTCCATGCTGGGTGGGTGAGGTGCAAGCCAGTCCTGAGCTGGGGCTGGGAGGAACAAGAGACAAAAATAACCCAGTACAAGCTCCTGCTGAGGCCAGAAATAGCGTAGTGACAGTGCCTTATAACACCGTGGATGAGCAGCAGGGAGGGAGGCTGAGCTGAACAGGGCCCAGGCTTACAGGTCTTGGCCTGGCCACAGGGCCCATACCACATCCACTCTACATACCATATACACTGCCCATATGCACAAAAGGGTGTGGGCAGAGCCTGAGGGTCCATGGCTTAGGACAAGGCATCTGGAGAGATGCTAAACTTGGGTTTGGCCTTGGCTATGGCCACACTGCGCTTGCGCAGAGGCCCACGGGCTGAGGCAAGGTTCAGGGAGTCCAGCAGGCTGCGGTCCTCATCAAGCTGACGGGCTGTGCAAAGTGGAGTAGGCACTGTGACAGTGTTGCCAAACTTGGAGTAGTCCACAGAGTAGCTGCCGTCCTCCTCGGTTACAATGGGCACGAAGCGCTGGCCCCATAGGATCTCATCAGCAAGGTAGGATGTACGGGCCTGGGTGGTGATGCCTGTGGTTTCCACCACACCTTCCAGGATGACAATGATTTCGAGGTCCTGATGGTGGTGCAGGTCACTGGGTGCCAGGTCATAAAGTGGGCTGTTGACATCAATAACATGGTAGATGATGAGGGGGGCCACCAAGAAGATGCTGTTGCCCCCCACACCATTCTCCATGGGGATGTCCACCTGGTGGAGGGGTACCACTTCACCCTCAGGGCTGGTGGTCTTGCGTACCACCTGCATGTGAATGGTAGCGCTGATGATCATGCTCTTGCGGAGGTCCCCTACACGCAGCATGAAACAGAGGCGGCCATTGCGCACGGCGATGACCGCATGCTTGCTGAAGATGAGGGTCTCGGCCCGCCGATGGGCCTGGGAAGTCTTCATGAAGATGCAGCCCAGCATGATGGCATTGATCATGAGTCCCACAATGTTCTGCACAATGAGGATCAGAATGGCTAGTGGGCACTCCTCAGTCACCATGCGCCCACCAAAACCAATGGTCACCTGGACCTCGATGGAGAAAAGAAAGGCGGATGAGAAGGAGTGGATGCTGGTGACACAGGGCACAGGGCCACCCTCGCCAGGGGCAAGGTCACCGTGGGCAAAGGCGATGAGCCACCAGGCCATGGCAAAGAGCAGCCAGCTGCACAGGAAAGACATGGTGAAAATGAGCAACGTGTGCGGCCACTTGAGGTCCACAAGCGTGGTGAACACGTCCTGCAGGAAGCGGCCCTGCTCCCGGATGTTCTTGTGGGCCACGTTGCAGTTGCCCTTCTTGGACACGAAGCGGGCCCGCCGCTCACGGGCACGGTATCGCGGCTCTGCAGGGTCTTCCACAAGCCGAGTCAGCACATACTCCTCGGGGATGATGCCCTTACGGGACAGCATGGTTCCAGCAACCCCCTAGAAGGGGATTCCCCCATGGGAGGGGTGCCTCCTGCCTGGACCTAGCGCCCTTGACCTGGCCTCACTCTGAGGTCCCTTCCCTCGCACCTTCTCACCCTGGGACCACCCTCAAGCCTGTGCTGCCTTCACCTTTGACTCCTCCTCACCTTCACTTGGGCCCTCCCTCACCTCTCTATACCAGCATCAAACCTCAGCTCACCTGCCCATGCCTTCTGAGCCCTCCACCCAGCCTATTCCCCATCTAGCCCTGGATCCCAGCTCAGCACCTCCACCAGCCAACCATCCCTGGACCTCCCCCTAAGACTCCTCCCCACCCAGTCTTCCTTTTCAATCCACTTCTCCCACCTCCAAACTTATCACCTCCGGATCTTACCAACGAACCAGACTTCACACAACCCACACCGTGTCTCCTGCCTCACCTATCCTGCCCTGGCTCCTCTCCAAGCTCCTGTTTCTAGCCTGGCCACCTCCAGTCTCACCTTCAGATATTGCCCTCCTTCCCCCGGTAGCGCTCCCGCAGCTCTTTGGATTCCCCCTCCAGCTCTCCCTCTGTCTCCTGGGGAACCCGCGCCCTCCGGAGTCGCCAGCCCGCCCACCTCCACTCCGATTCCCTCGCCCCCTGCGCGACCTGGCGGGCTCACTGAGAGTCGCGGTCTCCCAGCTCCTCGCCTCCCGCACGCACGCACGCACGCCCGCGGCCCCCGCCTGGTGCTCGTCCCTGCCCCTCCCACTCGGCGCCGCGGCACCTGCTCCTGCTCCTCAAGCCGCAGTCACCACCTCCCCGCCCCCGCTGCTGCCAGGGCGGTCGCGGCCGGCCGACTTCTCGTCCGTGGGTCAGTTATTGAGTCGGCCCGCGGAGTCCGACCTGTGTGACTTGGGGGTGGAAGACTGCGGGCGGGGGCACGTCCAAGGAGCGGAATGGGGCTCCGTGGCCGCCAGGGGGAGCCCGATCTATTCCTGAGCTGGAGGTTGGTGGGCACGGGCGTAGGCTCCTCCCCTCTCCGTCTTCTCCGGACTCCACCTCAAGCTCCGGGAAATTGAGGGAAGGGAGGGCGAGACTCACCTTTCCTTGACTCGCCCTTCCTGTTTGGGGACCGCAACCCCTGTTGTCCCGGCTCACCTACCCCAATTTCCCACCCGCAGCTGGGTCAGTGCCTCTCGCGCAATGCTGGGCTCTGCGGGTCCCCAAGGAAAGGAGGCACCGTGAGGCTGCGCCAGGGTGGGGTAGCAGCTGGAGAGAGATTAGGTGGACCAGACTTCTGGCGCAAGTAGGAGTTGGAATCAACGGACCAATTCTTTGTTTTCGGGAATCCTCAAGTCTTTTCTGGGGCATGGACCCTTTGAATATCTGATGGAAGCCAAGGATTCTCCCTAGACAATTATGTCCATTAGTAGATGGAGGAACACAGTTTTAACGTTCACTACACGGAATGCAACGATGGTCTCAAGCATAGCAATGATTGTGAGAATGGTGCAGGACTGGGCAGTGTTTCCCTTCTGTAGTACATGGGGTTACTGAGTGTGAATCCACTGGACGGTACCTAAAAACAACAACGGGGGATGCTAGATGCTCTAGCCCAGAAGCTGGGGTGCTTCCAGTCTTTTTAATCAGGACCCCCTATTCCACCTGCCCTTGCAAGTTAAAGAGGGTTTCAGCCACTGACACTCACTTCACACCTCCTTAAACCCAAAGCCTGATTTATTCCACTGTAGGTAACGGGAGGTACCTGGCTGTGAGTGGTTGGTTGTATTAGGGCTGGCTTGGCCTCCAGGCTCTTGGCTGACACATGGGTGGTGTTTCCATTGCAGGCGTCAACCTAAGGTTGCCCCATGGCCTGGCCACCAAATGAGGGTCCCAGCTGGGAGAGGAAGCCTGTTGTTGGAATAGTGTTGGAATAGCCCACTCCTTCTCTGGGGCTCAGATTCTTGTGGAGGAACCCCTAACCCATGTGTGGTCATTTGTTGGATGAGTGTTGAGGAGCTAAAAAGACAGAGGGAATGTGAGCCACAGTGATCTGACTTTCATAATGAGTTTTGCTTTTTCTCTTCTACACTCACCTGCAGACAGCATGGAAAATACTACTTAGGATAAACATGATCTTGGGCTATAATTAACAGAGGTCCTGTGTCTAGGATGGGGAGGAAAAACCAAAACGAGTAGAGTAGGGAGCTCAAGGAGACAGGGTTACATGGTAAACCTCTGAAGTGACTGCAGCTATTCAGTTATCAGAAGAGGGACCTTGGAGGGTCCCCTGGGAGGTTTGGACACTGTTCCAGACACCTCTGGGGTCAAAAAAGGACATACTAATTACTCTGTGAAGAGCTCTGGTAGCATAGTGCCTAAGGCACTTGACTGCTAACTAAAAGGCTAGTGGTTCAAACCCACCAGCCACTCCTCAGAAGGAAGATTGGGCAATCTACTTCCGTAGTGATACTGCCTTGGAAACCCAAGGAGGGGTCATTATGAGTCAGGTCTGACTCGATGGCACATAACAACAAGAACAGCAATTGCTCTGTGTGGCTCAAAGGGTAGAAGCTGGACACTAGGTAGAACAGAGGTATGCTTTGATTTCACTTATGGAAGAGTCAGTTCTAATAACCAGAGATGACCCACATCTGTGAGGCATCCAAGAAAAGGTTGGTAGACTATCAAGGATGTTACAAAGGGTCATAGTTGTGCTTCCCCTTCCCTCCAATACCATGGCATGGTGAGGTTCCTCTTTTCCCTCCCTGGGTTCTGTTCCTGTTTGGTTTTGGTTAGCTCTGGTCTTGGGAGGCACACAGTAGGGGGAGCTGCTGGACCCCTAGAGGCATCTCAGAGTGGCCCTGAGGCCTCAGCCACTCCCTGCTCCCTCCAGCTTGGAGGGCAAGCACCTCATCCAAGGGGTTCAGCCTCCTATTCTATTTCATTCTCCATTTGCTCATACCTCTCTCCCCTCCTGCCATCGGAAGGAAGACTGGGCAATCTACTTTTGTAGAGATACTACCTCGGAAACCCAAGGAGGGGTCGCTATGAGTCAGATCCAACTCCATGGCAGTAAGTAAAGTAAGTAAAGTATCTCCCCCAAACACTGCATTTGTCAGGTTACTTCCTTGTTGAAAATGTGTCTCTAGTTTCCATTTGGGAGCTCTGGTGGTGTAGTGCCTAAGGCATTTGACTGCTAACCAGAAGGTTGGCAGTTCAAACCCACCAGCCACTCCTTGGAAGGAAGACTGGGCAATCTACTTCCATAGAGATACCTCCTCAGAAACCCAAGGAGGGGTCACTATGAGTTGGAATCGACTTGATGGCAGTGAGTTTGTTTCTTTTTGTTTTAGTGTCCTTTTGTCTATAGGTATATAGGCAGTCCCTGGGTTACAAAAGAGATCTGTTCGTATCTTTAAGAATTTGTAGGTAAGTTGAACCAGGTGCTTATGATTCTTATTTAACTTTACTTTAGTGTAAGAAAGTGAGCTCTGGTGGTGCAGTGCTTAAATCGCTTGGCTGCTAAAAGAAAAAAAAAATTGTGGTTTGAACCCACCAGCTGCTCTTTAGGAGAAAGATGTAGCAGACTGTTACCGTAAAGATTTACAGCTTTGGGAACCCTATGGGGTAGTTCGGGAACTCTGGTGGCATAGTGCCTAAGGCATTTGACTACTAAACAGAAGGCTGGCGGTTCAAACCCCACCAGCCACTCCTCAGAAGGAAGGTTGGGGAATCTACTTCCGTAGTGATACTGCCTCAGAAACCCAAGGAAGGGTCGATTTGAGTCGGATCCGACTCCATGGCAGTGGTTGCGTTGCATTTATGGGGCATTACTCTACACTGTCCTATAGGGTTGTTATGAGTTAGAATTGCCTTCAGGGTTTGGGTTTGGTTAGTGTAAGAAAAGTCTCAAAGCTTTTTCAATGATTTACAAGTGACATGTGCAGCAAGTGAAGGTGCTTATGCAAGTAGAGGTGTTTGTTTTGAGTAGGGGTGGTTCAGTTGTTTCAAAGTGAGGGCAAATTTATATAACATTAAAGCACAAGTAGGAGTTGTCCATAAATCTGACATTCTAACCCAGGGTCTATCTGTATCTCAAACTCCTTGTCCTGATATTCAAGGTTCCCTGATCTGATGTCCCACCCTGCTGCCCTCATCTCCCATCTACCTCTCTGATCAACCTACACTCCTCATTCCCACCATGACTATTGCTCCTGCTGCCACCAGCCCAAAGAATTTTCCTCTATTCCCTGCCTGTCCAGGGAGCTCTGGTGGTGTAGTACCTAAGGCATTTGACTGCTAACCAAAAGGCTGATAGTTCAAACCCACTTGATGGCAGTGTTTGGGTTTTTTTTTTTTTTTTTTTCCTGCCTATCCAAATCCTATTTCTTCCATTGCCCAATACAAGCCCTGTGCCTCCCAGGCAGCTACCAGGCTTTACCGAGCTTTCCCTGAGCTCCTCTCATTCCTGAAGCATCCAGAAGGATCTGTGGTAGGCCCTCATCCAATGAAACTGGTAAATTACGATCCTGATCCTCTCACTGCCAAGACGGATGCAGGTTCTGACTCCTGGGTCTGCACCCCTGAGGCCTGGTACAGCCTATACTGAAGGCAAAATGTAAATGATAATAAAATGATATGGAAATATGCACTTGCCATTTCTTGGTTGATGGCAGGTGTGCACTCCTGTTTCATTATGCAGATGGTGTCTGAGGACTGCTGTTGTTTTTGTCTTCCCAGTGTTTGAGTCCCAGCATCTCCCAGCCTCTACTTGACCAACTTGTGGTACATGCCCATTGCTTTCCCTCTTAAGAATCATCCCTAACTCACTTTTGACTGCTTTTGTTTGGGGAACTGAGATAGAGCCATCTGATCCAGGCCTAACCAGTCAGTGTACTTTATTGCTTTGGTAACAGAGTGTGTGTGGGTGGCTCTATCCCTCTGGTCACAGATTGTATGGGGTGGGGATGTGACCCAAGTTGATCCATTGAAATTCAGTCCAGAGATTTCTGATGGAACTATTTGCCTAAGGCATTTGACTGCTAACCAGAAGGCTGGCAGTTCAAGCCCACCGGCTACTGCTCAGCAAGAAGGTTGGGCAATCTACTTCTGTAGCGATACTACTTTGGAAACCCAAGGAGGGGTCTCTATGAGTCAGGTCCTA